TAAAGTTAGGATAATATAATTGACATTGCTGGATTCCTTGTAAGACCAGGAATATTTTGAATATAAATGTCATATATTTTGCACAAAAGATAACATATTTACTCAGAGTAAACAAAATACTTAAAGTAGATCTAAAATTTGTATGTCTAATGCAAAATGTATGATGTTTATATTCAAAATGATCATCAAATTTTAAGAATTCCAGCAATGTAAATTATATTCTGGCCCGATAATTTGTATGAATTTTATGAGCTAAAACAAATATCTTCAATAAATAAACAAAATATACTTACCGAAATACTATATGTCAATCAAAATACCCCACCTCCCCCCCTTTTCCCACCTGCTCCCTGGGTCCCTCCCTCCCTCCCTACCCCTCACCCCCACCTTCCTTCCCTACCAGAGAAATGATTGGGTTATAACAGTATATTTACATTTTTAGTAATAAATAATACCTCAGACTAAAGTTAGGATAATATAATTGACATTGCTGGATTCCGTGCAAGACCAGGAATATTTTGAATATACACTTCATATATTTTGCACAAAAGATAACATATTTGCTCTGAGTAAACAAAATACTTGCATTAGATCTAAAATTTGTATGTCTAATGCAAAATCTATGATGCTTATATTCAAAATGATCACCAAATTGTAAGAATTCCAGCAATGTAAATTATATTCTGGCCGGATAATTTGTATGAATTTTATGAGCTAAATAAAAAAATTATACTTCACCCGCGTATATGAGTAGATGCACCGCGAAAAGTGGGAATTCCGGTTTTGGCAGGGTACCGCGTAAATGTAGAAAAGCGTAAAGTGAAAAAGCGTAAAGTGAAACCGCGTAAAGCAGGGTTCACTGTATTTATTTCTGAGAATATGGAAATGTAATATTTTGCTGAAGTGACGTACGTATTACAGTGGAAAGTGGGATAAAATCGTGATGAAAGCAATGACTTTCGCTTTCTTTCGTTCAAAAGATGTTACCGTAATCGCTTTTCGAATGGTTTTCAGTTAAAAAACTGTTGTATTTCAAAAATATTCTATCCTAATTCACTTGTGATGCAACAGTTTTTTTAATTGAAAACCATTTGAAAAGCGATTATGGTAACATCTTTTGAAAGAAAGAAAGCGAAAGTCATTGTTTTCGTCACGATTTTATCCCACTTTCCACTGTAATACGTACGTCATTTCAGCAAAAATATTACATTTCCGTGAATGTAGTATACCAAGCACAGTATAAATAGATTATCATTGTAATATAACAGTATTTTAACCGAAAACTATTAAAGAAACGAGTAACATCTCTTGAACATCGGAAGGTTAGGTAAAGTCTTTTGTTTTCGTCATGTATCTTATCCTATTATACATTGAAATACATCACGTTTCAGCAAAACTACTATTTATTTCTGAGAATATATTCATTCAGGCACAGTTTAGGTAAAATATACATGTGCTGTAACATTTTTTAATTGAAAACGATTCGAAAAACACGTACCCTCTAGTCCTGTTCAAGGAGAAGACTGGGAGGAGCTGTTTGGTGCTTAAGACGATGACAAGGAAAATGATTTTGGTGGATTTTAATGAAAATATTCAGAAAGACCCTGGCACTGTCAAAGAAAGTGGCTGCTGAAGGCTTCCAGGACATGGCAGAGGACGAGATTAGGAAGCTAATTGAAGAGCACGACACTGAGCTGACCGAGGAGGATCTACAGGAGTTAGTAGACTCAGGCAAGGAAGAGGAAGAGGAAGAGCACCAAGAAATAACGTTGGAGAAGTTGGGGGAGATGACCTGGAATATTGAGGCACTGAAAAACGTGGCCTATAGTATGGACCCCTCCATGGTGCGTGCCCTGAAATTCATGCGAGGGATGGATGACGTTTTTGCTCCATACAAAAACATCATGGAAGAAATGAAAAGAAAGAGACGACAACTCCCATCACCATGTTCTATGATCACCGAAGGAGAGATTTAACACCATCAATCACTGGCGGCAATGAGGAAGCAGCTGAATCCACCGTCGCCCCCACTTCACCACCCGTTATGGAATTGAGTGACGATGAGCCCGATGAACCCCGTCCTGTCGCCGAGGATAGGTATGGTACAGTAAAGTGAAATTTTTATCTCTTTTTTTTAATAGCTTTTCTTGCCATGTTTATTGTTTGTAAAAATGCACAGCACAGTACAGTTCAGGGGCCGGATACTCAAAAACATTTGATGGGACTGTATGTCTTTGTTTACCCCGTAACTGGACTTACAGTCTCAGATCGGTATACTCAAAACACAGATGGTATACTCAAAACACAGATGGTATACTCAAAACCAATATTTGACATCGAACTCCATAAGTTACCACAAGTAACTTACACCAGCTCCCGAGGTTGTGTAACACTCTCAACCCGGATGTAGTAGTGACTAATTCCCGATTGTATAGAAAATAATAATAATATATGTTGTAATAATGCTTGTTAGACTTGTTTTATTATAGAATAAAGAATAAAATCTTTTGTACATCAACATACTGAAATATAATATTTCACTTTGTCTTTTTCGTAACTTTTTTGTTGTATAATAAGCGGCTTGAGTGTCTCAGTTTGGAAGAGACGCATCCTTTGGCTTCTTACACATTATAAAGTATTTCTTACCAAAATAGAAGGTTTGTATTGTTCACACTTAGGGTAAAAATATGTTTTATGACTGAGTAAACTTGCAGATAGAACTTATTAATGTTTTATAGCCGTAAATATCCCTCAGTGATGAAAGCCAAATATGAGGTCAAGTGAACATTCCTGCCAAGACTTCGCCTTGTTTTTCTAATATTCAACCAATAGTCTTAGCCTATTTTCTTATGTATATGGCTTATGATAACATGAAAGGCTATAAATTTCCATAGGCTAGCGAAAATTAAATGATATTAGGTGTAAAATATGGATTGCAATTAACTTGATTAATAGGTGCCTATATATAACTGCTTTTTCAGTCTTAGGCAAATAAATGTTTAAACATGGGGCCTACTTAATTTAGTTAGAACATGAGGATTATTTAAATAAGAAATTATACTAATAGGGTATAGGTTAGATAGGTTTGGTTTGGTTATGTTATGTTATGTTATGGTATGTTAGGTTAGAGAATGTGTACATGGTTTTTGGTGAGCGTCAGGCCGTCAGTGAGACACTTTGTCTAACAGCTACCTTAGGCCTAGTTCCAGACTTTCCTTGAACATTATCATAGGTAGAGTATTAATTTAAGAAAATTTACGGCTAATCCGATATATTTTCAGGTTTTAAATTGTTGTTTTTTGTATGAACTTGAAGACAATTCAGACCAAATGTTCCCAACATTGAAAGGAAAACACTAGGGTCTAGGCTAAATGAGTAATTTAAGAGAAGTGATTTGTCATTTAGGTTAGGCAAGGCTATACTATCATTAACCAATTTATTTGAATTTGCCCAGAATAAGGCTATCTTAGTATAGCTTATGTGTCTTGTCACAGGCCAACATTATGCAAGGGATTATTTACCTAAATTCTAGTGGGGTAAAACACCAAATACTGTGAGATCTCTGTTAGCCTGAACAATTGGTGAAGAGCACTACCGTGAATGAATGGGTGTTTTCCCGTTAACAAGACAGTTATCACAAATCAAGAAAATATCCCTCATCCCCAGAATGTTTATGGTAATGGAAAAATTTTCTTGGTAGTTCCTACAATTGCCCATTACATCATCTCTCGAACCCGGAAATATATCCCCCATCTCCGGAATTTTCTCGGTTATCTGGGAAACTTTCCTCATAGTTTTCAGGAAAATGTGCCTCTCTGAAAGTCATTTACCTAAGCCGTAAGTTTCCTGCAAAATCATGCTTTGGGAATTAATTTTAGATAAAATTTCAATTACGGCTTTCAGAAAGTTCCGGGTTTCAAGGATTCCGGCTAACGGAGAAGGCTGCTGTTCCTACCAGAAATCAGTTTCAAATGCGAGTATGTGACAGACTTTGAGGCAAGAGGATGTCTTTTAAATGCTTTTAACACCCTTATTTCCTTTCATAATGAACAATTTTTTTCAATTTTAATTGAATACAGAGATTTTAACACGTGCTTTTTCCAGTATTTTACCCCTAAGAGCCAGGCAAAACCTTAAGGCCGTAATTTTTGTTTTTCACAGGCATAACCCTTCTATTCTAGGCCTAATGATAAAACTTTGAATTAGTTAGTGTCAACATAAAAACAATACTGTAACAAACTTCTAAACCATTGCATAATTTTTTGTCCTGCAGATTGATCCTGTAACACTTGGACCTCATTTTCCAGTTACCCTGCAATGGATCTTGTTGTAGCTTATCTGCATGATCGAGCTTTACGACGTGAACGAAGGTATCTGGACCCTTTGGATCCCATAAATATAAGCGATGAAAATCTAATTAGATATAGGTTTCCTCGATGTGAAATTCTAAGACTGTGTGAAGATTTAGATCCATTTTTAAGGCGTAGAACGAGAAGATCTCATGCTGTTCCCATACACACGCAAGTGCTAGTTGCCTTAAGATTTTACGCCAATGGAACCTTTCAACATGTACTTGGTGATACAGCTGAAGCTGTAGCAGGGACAGGCCAAGCAGTCCGAGCCAATGTAGTCCGTAATTGGTTTGCTTGATGAATTAAAATCAAATATCAATTCACCAATAAAATTTTCCTCTATGTTTAAATAGTATTTTTTAGTGCAGTATACAGAGGTAATGCGAATAAAGCGTGCATTGATTTAACTTTTATTTTCAATATTCTGTACATAATAAAATAAACTTCTTTATAGAAATTAAATGGCTTTCTTTTACCTTAATAATATATGTACTATATCCTTGAGCAAATTTGATTCCAATACAGTATACTTTTAATACTACTAAATACCAAAGGCACTAAAGTTTATGAAACAAAAAATCCTTATATAAAACATATTTGAGAAATTTTAACAATAAAAAAATATTGCGACTGTTTGCATCTTAAACTACACAATTTGCCATGGGTCACCACATCGTTGTGAAATAATAATACAACTACTGTTATTTGTTGCCATTTTTTAGATTTAAGAATGAAATACAGTATAATTTTCATATGTCTAGAATTACCTGCATCAATACCCGTAAATTAAAAGAAACTTATAACCCAATACTGTACTACTGTAAGTAATAAAGAAAAAAATAGAATACTCTTTGCTTGTTCAGCTATAAAATGTAACATGAGACAGCACATCCTTATGATAGAACCAATGCAACAACTTGCGCTTTGGAGACTATTGTGTGTTAAATAGCAGCGATTACAGTAGGCTGTTGGTGAATTTGCACCATTATTTCTGTTTAAACCTACTTGAATCATACTTCGCAAACTACAAACTAATAAATAAAACGCGTTGAACTGGAAATTGACTACGTCTTACAAAATAAAGGAACCTTTAAAAAATAAAAATAAGTACATGAGCCTCTTTTCAAACATATAATTTTGAGTGTGGTAGGAACTTTTACCCAAAACCTGGGTAAACATTACCCGTAGTAGCACTGCAACACATGTTATTAGTTGACAAATGTGTGTCTTTCACTTAACTTCGTGATTTTAATGAACTTATGGAGAGCTAAATATTCCTGTTACATTTTCATGACTAGTATAGGCTGCAAGTGAAAGTTACACAATTTTTTAACATGCCGTCTTCCTTCATAACAATCACTCAAAGGAAAATTTATAATAAGTGTTTGATGACTTTTCAACTACGCTATTATCACATTTACCAAAAGTAAAGGACTTACCTAAGTAAACGACTACATATACACACACCATAAACACAGCATCATTGGATAGGATTTTTCGACTGCATAACTCTTGCAATGCATAGCATTGCAGATGCAATGCACTCGGTGTTAGCTACAAGCTGTAAAAAACTGTCACTCATTTGTGTTTGAACACGAAGCATCTCTCGAAGAAGATCTTCATCTTTTCGGGCAGAAGAGGTTCGTGGCCTCCTGCCACTTCTGCTGGTACTTGGCATTGGAGGTGAACCCATTTCATCAGTGGAATCACCAGTTACAGTTGACCTAACAGCTGTGGCAGAAGGGGTACTAGACCTACTTCGCTGTTCCGTGGTAGCAGCAATAGGTTGACGAGTATTGCTTGAACTACATGTTTCTACCTCATATGTTCCGGATGATGAAAATCCAGGAATGTTTGTAGGTGCTGAATTTTCAGGTTCTAAATGCACAATGGGTACTGTGATATCATGTTCCTGTATATCCTCATTCAGAATGAGGGTTATAGAATCATCTTTCTCTTGAATGGGCCGAAACATAAATTCCTCTCGGAAACAACTACCGGTAGCTGTAAACCTAGCTCCTGAGGGTCCGGGGGTTAGTTCTCTTTCTTCTTCTGGAAAGAAATGTAGTATAATAGGTTGATTGAAGTCTATGTTAAGAGTATAATTAAAATATTACACTGTATTTCCAAATATACAAAAGCTTTTAGGAAAAATAATGGTTTGAAAAATAGTGTTGACCATCTAAATATATTTGTTTAAAATATTTTTAAATCTAAATATCAACTAGGCGTTAAATTTCTTATATTTGCACTTCTCAATTTTGTCCATTAACATACGAGTTATAACAACATTTAATATATAACTTAGGGAAGCAATAAACAAGCTAGAAATGAAACCAACTTACTAGTGTTGTTATTTTTCAAAATTATATAAAAAAATCAGTATACTGTACAGTATTTCCAAATCAAGATGTGAAAAAATGTCTCCAAAAGTTTTTTTTAAATAAAAACAAGGACAGAAAAGAACAAAATATATCAGGGGGTTGGAAAAATATTTTGACTGAATTACCATTAATAGGTTCTTCACTTTCAACATCCCCTGGAATCCCATGTATAGAGGCTGGATCTAATAGTTGAAGAATTGCGTCTTCAATTGCAGTGTATGTAATTTCAATTTGGGGGCCGCCACCTTGAAGAGAAAATATAAATAATAACTGTCTTACTGTGAGCTGTGGTTACATACACTATACGCTAACTATGTTATATTTGGCAGAAATCATAGTTACAAAGGAATCTACTGAAATAGTTCCAAACATTATAACCTAACCTATCATTGTAGCTGTAGCCACAAAAATTCTCCTTTATCTATGTCAAAAGTTAATTAGATTTAAGGTAACAAACAATAAATGGTAAAATAAGTCAAAAAAAATAGTCGCAGCCAGAAATTTTCAACCTGTATTAGTTGTAAACTCATAAGATAGAACATCCTTGCCTATAAGCCTAACAAAGTAAAATTTACATATTAATGTATACCAAATATGAATATAAATCTATTGATGAATGAAAATTAACGACATAAAAAAGGAATTCTATGGCAACTTATACATTATGACCTTCATTACCGTCGGAAATAACGTAATTATTAATATGTAGTTTATAACAGTAACCAAACCTACCTAACCTAGCTTCCTTTACCAACGGGAGGCCTCCGCCGCCCTGCCACACAAACTCATATTAACTATCTCTGTTCCACGTCAGTTGCGACACAATGACAAGTGTGTCTTAAAATTTTGTAATCTATATGATAGGTATAATAAGAAAATCCAAAAGTTGTGGGGAAATTATTAACAGTAGTACAGACTTCCCTGACTACCGGGTGGTAAGATATTGGAAGCATCATGTGTACTCTAATGGTAGACCCTGCTGCCATATGGCATCACGAAAATTAGGAGCAAGTCTAAGGTTGCTGATCTGACTAAATGTGTCATTTACACACAATTGCAGGGTCGCAATTGTTTCTCGTAATATCGACAACACAACATACATACTGTATATTGATTCTCACTTTTTGTGTTTTCATTTCGGTATTTATGGTTATTTATTATTAATATTATTATTAATAAAGTGGTATTTTTATTAATAGTACTAAATAATTATTATTACAGGCCCCGACGTGAGTCAGTGACTGTGCCTGGGTTGGTTAATCCACGTAAAAAGAAAAAAAAAATTAGGTTGAACGGTAAAGTTTTTACTATTTACTCACACGGAAAAATTCGAAGAACGATGTTTCTTTTAATGAATGTGCTCATATAAGGAAAATATGTGTATTCATTCACGATGGAGAGCCACCACACTACTTACTTCCTTGAGTTTACAAACACGTAAAATCGTACCAAGCCTCAGAAAAACCATAGTTAAGTTTGTTTCATATTATCAATCAATAACCACGCTAACAATATTATGACTTACCTGTTCCACCAGCATATTTCTTATCTTGTGCTGCTTTTTTCTTAACGCTAACACGAAGATCAGAAAACTTCCGCCGAATTTCAGTAACATTGCGGGTGACTCTACCAACAGCATTCACCGCATTTAACACTTCACCCCAGGCATGGTTTTTGAGTTGAAGTGTACAACTACTTGAGTCCAACTTCCCTAAAATCATTTCTTTTCGTTTGGCTACCTCAGTCACAAGAGTGTATACTTCAGCCTCACTGAAATTAGGCCGTCTCTTCTTGGCTGGTGGTCCTTCCATGTTTACAAAATAATATTACGTGCGTCGCTCTCAGCTGATTTCTCCTTCTCTTGTGATTGGTTGATGATTTTGTTAACTGAGCGTTGATTGGCCAACTAGCATCTGCACTGACATCTACCGTCCGACAAGAGAACTTAATTTACAGGGTAAACACTAGAGTTACGAGAACTTATGGTAGTCTTACGGAACCATAATTAAATTTTGAGTATGCTAAATTTATGGTACTGTAAGGCTTCCACAATATATGGTACTGTATCATGCTGAAAAACGTAACTTTTGAGGTGTTTTGAGTATCCGGCCCCAGTACTGTACATAGGAAGTGGAGGTGCAGTTATTCACAATACATTTGTGTTTGTTGTCGGCAGTAGTGACGGACAGGAGGTGGAGGAGGCTGAGGAGGGAGTAGAGGGAGCGAGTTGGGAGGAGTGGTGACCTTGGACGCGGGAGCAGGGACGAGTGGAGATACCAGCCAGTACATTACGGGTGTATTAATTGTTTTTATAGCTCTTTTTGCATTTTAATATTAAATACTGTACATTACGTGTCAACAAAACTACCATTTATTTCTGAGAACATGGAAATGTAATATTTTTGCTGAAATGATGTACGCATTACAGTGGAAAGTGGGATAAAATTGTGACGAAAGCAATGACTTTCTCTTTCTTTCGTTCAAAAGATGTTACCGTAATCGCTTTTCGAATGGTTTTCAGTTGTGGGATTATAAGGCTAATGATAGGATAGAATATTATTGTAATACAGTACGAGTACAACAGTTTTTAACTGAAAACCATTCGAAAAGTGATTACGGTAAAATCTTTTGAATAACGAAAGAAAGCGAAAGTCATTGTTTTCGTCTTTCCACTGTAATATGTACGTCATTCCAGCAAAAATATTATATTTCCATATTTATTTCTGAGAATACGTATATTCATTCAGTCACAGTAAAGGTAAAGTATACTTGTGATGTAATATTTTAATGAAAATGCGGTATCGTAGTTTTCTTTTGTTTCAAATTTAATTAACAAAGATTGATGTTTCAAATGGAATGAAAAAAAATTTATGTACACATTGTACAGTATCTATAAATAAACTTTAATAAATGAATACTTTATGTTTTACATCGTCCTGTGCTACCATACCATGGATTTGGCTACTTTGGGCTTGCTATGATGTCGCAAGAGATCTGCCCTGGCAACCGTACCGCCACTCACAACTGGTGGTGTGTTGGTGCATCGTTTCCATTGTTTACTGGTAGTTACTGGTAAATATTTTTCAACCTAACGAAGCTATTTGGTCTTAAAAACTCGAACTACACACAGGTATATACGGTAAATAAGGACATGGGGGGCCAGGGTTTTTTTTTGGGGGGGCGGGGGGCAGCAAAAATACGCAGATTTTTAACATCCACGGGTATCTCTGTTACGTAACCCCCGCGTATGGTAAGGACCGACTGTATATGTATGTATGTATGTATGTATATATATATATATATATATATATATATATATATATATATATATATATATATATATATATTTATATATATATATATATATATATATATTTCATTAGCCCAATAGCACGCTGATTCTATTCTGTCTGAACTCAATGGTTGAGTAACGTTTACCAAAGCCGGATTTGGTAAAACGTTACTCTGACCACCTACGTGATACGGGTGGTCCCCATTAGAGGTTCACGGCGCCATAAGCTCGTTGAACAGGCTTTGTGTGAATTATAACAAAGTCTAGGACTGCTTTTAGTATCCTCGTGGTCCAGCGGTTAGCGTTACCCGGTCACAGTTATAGGATTGTGGGCCGTGGGTTGGAATCCTGGCGGGTTGATGTGTTGATTGTATGTAGAAGTCCGCGTGCTTTATTGGGCTAATGAAATATATATGGATCCTCGTGTTTCGAAGCCGGATTTGGTAACACGTTACTCTGACCACCTACGTGATACGGGTGGTCCCCATTAGAGGTTCACGGCGCCATAAGCTCGTTGAACAGGCTTTGTGTGAAATATAACAAAGTCTAGGACTGCTTTTAGTATCCTGGTGGTCCAGCGGTTAGCGTTCCCTGGTCACAGTCATAGGATTGTGGGCTGTGGGTTCGAATCCTGGCGGGTTGAGGTGTTGATTATATATATATATATATATATATATATATATATATATATATATATATATATATATATATATATGTCTTGATAAATCACACGGGAAATGGAAACAACTCTGTTGTTTCCATTTTACCGTGATTTTATCAAGATTTATCTTATCCATGCTTCTCATTGTGATTTACATAAATATATATATATATATATATATATATATATATATATATATATATATATATAAATATATATATATATATATATATATATATATATATATATATATATATATATATATATATATATATATATATATATATATATATATATATATATATATATATATATACATACACACACACAGTATTACCCCGCTTTACGAGGTTACACTTTCCGCGATTTCTCATTTACGCGGTGCCTCGCCAGAACCGAACTTTCACTTTCCGCGGTGCATCTTCCCATATACGCGCAAAGTGTCTGGCTCGACGCTATTTTTAGATTCGACCCTCCCGCCTGCTCCCGCCTGGGCAAGCCGCGCGGTAAGGTTGCACAGTGCATGTCTCTGTTGCGTTATCAGTGACGTCATATGACGTATCGGACTGTAATTGGCCATGCATCCTTACCTCCCTCCGCTGCTAGCTGTAATTGGTTTAAAGTAATATGACGTGTCCACCCGCGGGAGGGAGGGAGGAAAGACGACACTTGACCTAACCGCGGCAGTTTCATCCCTCCAGGCCACACCGTATGTACGTGCATCCATTGTTCTGTGAAATGGCTTCCGCCGGACCACCGCCACCAGAGAGAAACCTTTTCTTACCTGGACCCAGCCGCCCTAAGCCAAAGAAGATACGACGTTCCCTAAGCTACGAAGTGAAATACCAGATAATTCAAGATTTGGAGAAAGGAACACGTCAAGCTGATCTCGTGTGCCAGCATGGAGTCAACGAATCTACGATTCGTACTATTAAGAAGGATGCAGCCAAGATCAAAGAGCACATGAGAATCACAAAGTCTGCAGGTGCTTCAATGATCAAGTATTGCCAGAACAAGGTGCTGCTAAAGGTGGAAAATTTGCTGGTGAGTTACTTGATTCGTCAGGCGCGACGCAACATGGCGGTGGACACGCGATCCGTTCAAGAGTACGCACGTGAACTGTACGCAGCAGTGTCACGTAAGATGGGAATTGCAGAGCCCAAACCCTCCAATGCTTCCTCTGGTTGGCTGCATAGGTTTAAGAGGAGGAACAATATCACCAACATCAACATTGGTGGTGAAGAAGCGAGTGCTGACCGTGTGGCGGCTAGAGGTTTTCCTCCGTTCTTACGTGAGGTTATGGAGGATGGGCGGTTCACTGACGACCAGGTGTTCAACATGGACGAATCCGGCCTATTTTGGAAAAAGCTGCCTGCCAAGACCTTTGTTGTCCAGTCTGCCAGCAAGGTTCGGGGTCGGAAGTTGCAGAAGGAGCGCATCACCGTCCTCTATACCACCAATGCCTCTGGTACCTGTAAACCAAAGTTATCGGTGATTCACACAGCCCGCAAGCCGCACGCCTACAAGAATGTGGACATGAGCAAGATTAATGTCCACTGGCTGACCGCACGCATGACGTGGATGTTCTCTGCTCTGTCACTCTCCTGGTTTGATGACTGTTTCATTCCCGACGTGAAGAAATTCTGCGAGCAACAAAATGTTCCATTCAAGATTTTGTTGCTCCTTGACAACGCACCAGGACACTCACCCCTACTTATGAATCGTCACCCCAACGTAAAAGTGGTCATCCATTCTCCCAACACTACGTCATTGATCCAGCCCATGGACCAGGAGCTGATCTGCAATGTGAAAGCTGCATACTCGGCAAAGAAATTCAAGCTCCTGAACGACTGTACCAACACCAAGGATGAGTTGCGTAAGCTGGGTGACACCGATAGCGAGAGCAAAAGCGACGAGGACAGGAACAATAGGTGGTGACTCAAGAAGTTCTCGTCAAACAGTTTTGGAAAAAATTTAACGTCAAACAAGCTGTAGACTTCTTGGTGGAGGCATGGGATCAGCTGTCTATAGCTACGATTCGTCACGCATGGAGGCATGTGTTGCATGGTATACCAGGTGAGAGGCGGAGTCAACCTGTGAGTGGTGAGGTTCAGTCTGTAACAGTGGCATTGGACCTTGCAAGAGAAGCTGTGCACAGTATTACAGCTGAAGGCTTCTCCGAGACCACCAACGAAGACATCCTGGAGGTGATCAGAGATCCTGAAATGACTGCCGACGAGATGTTGGAAGATGATAACGTCAGTGAAGAGGAAGGTGGTGCGTCAATCCCAGAAGAACACAAATTAACGCATAGAAATATTAAGGGTGCCATCGAGTGTGCAGAGAAATTAAAGCTCTTCCTTTCCAACGACCCTGACGATGACCGCTATGAAGTCTTCCATACCCGGCTGGTGCAGGCTATGGAGCCGTACATCAAGGTATATCAAGACAACATCAACACTAGCCGTCAAAAAAGCATTTCCGAGTTCTTCGCCCGCAACCCACCACAGCCAGCCAGAGCCAGTGATAGTGACAGTGAAAGTGACTTTGAGGGATTTGTCAGGGAGGCCCTGACAACTATGACTGATAGTGATGGTGATGCACCTAGTAATGGTGATTCACCTGAGGGCCAGTAATCTGCCCTCTGCCTCGGAACCAGCCTCCATCCCCGTATGCCGACCCATCTCTTCTACTAACGTAAGTGTTACACCCAACCTTTAGTTTTCCTAAGCTAACCTATATTTTTCCTAACCTAACCTTTATTTTTCCTAACCTAACCTCTTCTATATTAATTGTGTATGCATACCATCATAAAGTTAAGATAATATTTTTACTACAACATAGTTGTGTGTCGTCAAAAAGTGGAGTTTGGGGATCGGGCCAGTCTCTATTGGAATTAATCCCATATGTTCTGTTGTTCACTTTATGCGGAT